TTTTTTTTTTTTTTTCAACTTTGATAAATCTGTAAAAAAACGTTATCTCCAACGTTTTTAAAATGCTACGTGCCATGAGGAAGGCGTGCATCGATTGTAGCGAGGGTTAAACACACGACTTTGTAACGTGTGCAACGATCGTTCATAAAATATTTTTTGACTCAGAGTCGTAAATACACTGATAATCCCCATTTTATACAAAGAACAGTCTGATTATCCTGCACACGTGGTTACAATAAGTTGCACGTATAATATAATAATACAGCTTACGTCGACAAAACCAAAATAACCCAAAACGCCCAATTCACGATCGTCTTGTGCAGTGTACTCTCGAACTCGGAGCCGATACACTTGTCCCCCCCGAAAGCTCTCGTTATTTCGCGCCAACTCGCGATCTCTCAAGCAGCTACTACGACAATCGGCTCTCGACTCTCTCGAGCCGCGGTAAAATCGGCTTTCCCCCCCTCGATCGGTATCACGTGGGGCCGTAATGTACACGGGGCAACATCCGCGACGTGCAGAGTATACATATCATCGTTGCACGAGATGCAGAGAAAGAGAGGACACATGGCTTCTCGATGTGCAAGAGAGGATATAATGCGTATACATTGTACACGCACACTGACGTGTAGGTACCTACTCGCGTCTCGGAGTAATCTTTGAGGAGGCTCCGAATTATATACCGATCGCGCCGACCTTGAGCTCGTGCCATTATTCACACTGAATGGTACGTGCACGAGAAGCAAAGGAGAGAGAGAGAGGAAGATCCTAATGGGAGTCTGATGGCCGCTCGCATGGTGCATCGGCCTCTTATACATGTGTACGATGGGCGTTGAGCGTCGATGCATCATTTTGACGTTCGCCACCGCTGCTATCATACGTGAACAATTTGGAGGCTATATCCACAGGAGATATCCATCAGACCACTTCAATGCAAATGTATAGGCTTGCCTATACGTGATATGGATACGTGGTTGTTCGGTTGGAGGTGGTGGTCGTTGGTTCAATTTTACCGGATGTCATGTATATAACGACGACACTTTGGTGGTCGTTGATGGTTTGGCTAATATGAAGGCGATTCTAATGAGGAATAGATTTTTCGGAAGATTATGTAAATGTTATTACTGTAGAGGTTCATGTCAGTGGCACAATTGTTTCGGTGAGTTTTCTTATAATTGAAAAAAATTGAATTTACATTATTATTTTATAAAAAGTAGTTACAAAGTAAACAAAAAAATTTATACTTTTTTGAAAATGCAAGGGCTTATACCCTTTGTTCAAGTAAACTTAGGACAACCGATATTTTAAAACTTCAGTCACCAGAATCAAAAGTGCTTTCTTTTAACTTCAAACGATAATTAACCTATTGTTATGAAAAATTTGTCAAACTACGTCAACAATAATCACCCTTCACGACAAGTTGAGTATCAAAGAATTGACTCTGTCCATTGTACTCGTATTAACAAAGCGCAACTTTGTAAAAGCAAAATAACTATTTTTCTTTGAACTTCAAAAACGAGATTTAATTAAAATTCGCGCATAAGCAGCAACCTGCAACAAGATAATACATCACCGTCGTTGAAAATAATTTTTCCCAGTCTGCAGTAAAATAAAAAAATAAATACACACCCTTCGTTAAGCTAAACAAGTGTAACGAGACTTTTTTTTTGCGCAAAAATAAAATTTCACCGTCGAAATATTCCCGTAAATTTTTCTGGATTTCCGCGTCAAAACCCTTAAAGTAACTTATTAAAAGTTGATTCTATAAGGAGACGCGAGTGAGAGTACACCTGGGTATAAGCTATAATTAAAAAATCTACGCCTACACCGTGAGCATAGAGCCTTTGTATTTCATAGGTTCATATTACGGCACGTCGGGTGGCGCGCGCATTTAAATTAAAAGAAGTTGTATTTCGTTTCTCGCACTTGCTCTAACATTCATCTAGTTAAACACTACTCGACCGCGGTCGCGTTTTTCCCTCATTTCCATTCGCACGTATATTTTATAACGAGGTGAAATTTTCTCGAGGAGAATGAGAGGAGCAGTAATGAGTGCTCAAATCGAGGAAATGTTTCTCTATAGACCAGGTTTTTAGCGGTAAATTATTATTATTATTTTTTTTTTTCTTCATTTCATTTTGTTGGTGCGCTTTTTATGTTGGTATATTACTATGTAGTTGCAATAGAAACGTATTTAAATGAATGGGTTTTAAAACAACTTTTCTTCCTCGCCAAAGGTTGTAAAACTTTTGATGCAAAATTTCCATGATTTTTCAAACCCATGAAACATCAAAGAACAACCGTGTCGAATTAAAATTAGCAGAAACCAAGTACCTATATAGGAGCGCAAGTTCAAATTAAATCCTTTGGACAAAACAAAAAATTAAATAAATAAATCATGTGATGTACACCCTCTGGTATGATGATCTGGACCACGCAACGTTTCAACAAACGTTATTATTAAAAATTTATAAAAAAAAAAAGTTGCAAATGATCTCGAAAAAACTTGTTGGAATGGTCAACAATGTCCAGTGATTTTTACAAATGAAACCAATTATTGGTCAATTTTTTTGCACGTGAGCAACGGTCATCCAAACGTGTTTTGCTCCAAGGAAGTGTGGCACGATGGCTTGTTTTAAAACGCGCTTTAATTGTAGGTTTACAAACACGAAAGGATACTGTGCCGTCATAAATATAACTAAGGGCATTGGCGAAAAAGTAGTGCACTTCTCGGGAGGGCGTAAGGGAGCCATTGATTTATACGATAGCGCCAGCGAAAAAAAAAATCCTCGGGCAATCATCGGTTAAAAAAAAAAATAAAGATAATATTGGTGGTTCAAAAGAAAGAATGAAAAAAAAAAGAGATTTTTTTCCTACGAAAAATGAGTAACGAAAGAAAAAAAGGCCCCGGAGCCCTCGTATCCAACAGAGAGAGAGAGAGAGAGAGAGAGAGAGAGAGAGACAGAGAGCAGTAGTTTTTGCTTCTCGAAAAATACGCTGACTCAGAATAAAACAACACCACACGCGCACACGCACTTAATTGGCACTCCTCGTTAATTATACCTGCCCGGGCATAGCATAGGGCTCGAGTGAACTGTACCACCCTATATATGGTACGTCTATATGTGTATAAATGTGCACGCGCGGGGGTGCAGGGTACATCAACGTTTGCATGGTGTCACCATCCGCAGTACTTCAGGACAGTTGTGTGCACGCGTACAAGGAGCAGCTTGCCGGAGGATCGGGC